CATCCTCCTTTTTTGAAGAAAAAAAATTGGCATAAAATTGTGCACTGAAATAAGCTGAAAACAAATGAAGCTTACTTGGAAATTACTAAAGATATTTTGATTACAGAAAATCTTGTAGCATTATAATAGAAACTATTTTATAATCATAACTTTATAATCATAATCAAGTGTTTTTGAAGCCAGATCTTACATTTTATTAAAAAATTTTTTTTTAGTTGTTGATGGACATTTATTTTATTTTTTTATTTTTATGTAGTGCTGAGAATCGAACCCAGTGCCTCATACATGCTAGGCAAGCACTCTACCACTGAGCCACAACCCCAGCCCCAGATCTTATATTTTAAATCAGACATTTTAAAGAGCATATTTATTACTGTCACACAAAAGCATACATGCAACTTGGGATGAGGGTGTGGAAAGAATCTAATACGTCTTTTTTTCGGGGGGTACTGGGGATTGAACCTAGAGGTGCTTAACCACTGAGCTACATCCTGAGCCTTTTTAAAAATACTTTATTAGAGACAGGGTCTTGCTGAGTTGCTAAGGGCCTCGATAAGTTGCTGAGACTGGATTTGAACTTGTGATCCTCCTGCCTCAGCTTCCCGAGCCACTGGAATTACAGGTGTGCACCACCACACCTGGTAATCCAACCCTTTATGATGATTATAAGAATGAAGTTGTAGGAAAGGGCCACTTTTGTATGCTTGGAGAAGTGAGAGCTGATTCTATTTTGTGATGTCTACATCCTTTAGTGTCAACTTAGTGTTTGATCTTGGACTCCAATGAGGTATTTGGTTTTATTTTGTGTATGTGGTGTTGGTGTTAGAACTGTGGACATTGTGTATGCTAAGCATACATTCTACCACTGAGCTTCACCTCCTCCACTAAGGCACTTGAGTTAGTATTTAGTTTCTTAGACTGGCATGGTAGAGACAAGGCCATTTCAGAGGGTAAACCATCTTACATGTTCCAATGGCTTCTGAAGAAAGACATTCTGGATGGGTATAGAAACTGGGGGTGGGGGATCAACATTTTGTATCAACAAAACAAAAAGTGGATAATCCAGGCTACTGACCTAAAAAGAGTGAAGCTTTACATATTTAGAAATAATATTTGATAAGTTCCTATTTATCAATTAAAGGTTAAATTCCAGACAAAAGCCATCCTTAACTGAGGGGAAAAAAAAAAAAAAATCAAAGTTGACAAGTCAGTAATGCTAGAATCTGTAAATTTCTAAAAATACGCTTTCAGAAAAACCCCACTCCCTGTAAAACAGGGACTAAGCTAATGAAAGCAACTCACAGATTCAATTATAACAGTATATGTGAAAGGTCTTAATCTAGTGGCTAGAAAAATGAAAATAATTTCAAGGTCTAACTCAATACCCTATATATTATATAGGCTCTCTAAAGTGCTCTGATGCAAGAATATACATATGCCAAACAATTACTAGTGTCACCCAAGGCTTCTATTTTAAACCCATCACTTAAGCCAATGGTTCTCAAACTGTAGTCTCCAAAATCAGCAGTTTGTGTGTCACATGGGAAATTGTCAGATGTGTAAAATCTCAAGTCCCATACTTTAAAACTCTTAAGAAAGAAACAGGAGGTGGTACCCAACAATCTATGTTTTAACAAGTCTCTCAAATGATTCTGATATACATTAAAGTTTGAGAAACAGTGAATTAAATGATGATTTCAGCTGGGCGTGGCAGTGCACGCCTGCAATTTCTGCAGCTGGGGAGGCTAAGGCAGGAGGCTCATGAGTTCAAAACCAGGTTCAGCAAAAAGCAAGGCACTAAGCAACTCAGTGAGACCTTGTCTCTAAATAAAATATAAAATAGGGCTGGGGATGTGGCTCAGTGGTCAAGTGCCCTTGAGTTCAATCCCCAGCATCCTCCAACCACCAAAATAATGATTTCAGGTACTATTCCTCCAAATGCAATTCAAAGATTATTGACCTATGCATGTGAAATGTACCATGAGGAAAAATTCACATATAATTAAAATTTGATATTAGAATATGTTTCAAAATGAATGCCATCACAAAGATGGAGAGAAGATACATTTATATGCACTAAACAAACTTTGGGATTAAGAAAATTATCAATAATAAAGGTGATAAGGTAGAAAAAATAAAACATAAATGTTAGCTCTAATTCCTCTCAAACCTCAAAGAACTGGCTAATGTGGTGAGGCTACACATAAGCAAGAGGTTAATGCCTTCAGCATAATGAATAGAAGCTCCTACAAATGAAATTCCTAGTTCCTGCTCAGATATGACAATCTAACAGCAACCACTTCTGGAGTGTGATTCTTTTAGTGGGGGGAAATACAAATAACCAAAAAGTTAAATATTCTAGAGTATCTGACCTACAGTAAAAAAGAATGTAGGGATAATAAAGGTAACTTTAAAGTATAAGATAACTATTTACAAAGGGGCAGAAATTGGCAAGAAAGCTCAAGCACAGAAAAAAAAATCTCACAAAACAGAAAAAACCTGAAATGTTTTAATTCAATAACAATTAGTGTTTATTCATGGAAAAAGTTATAGGTTCTAAAAAGGTCAAATTCCATAGCAAATTCACTTTCACAAGTGCACGTGGGTGGTAAAATTTAAATTCCTATCAAGTGTTATTTTTTTCTATTCTTAAACACAGTATCTTTTTCCTTATTTTACAAGTTATTGGCTCCCATAACTTGAAAATTTTTAGTATGGTAGGATATTTTTATTCACCAAAAACACAAACATCAAACTTTAAAATGTAACTGAGGTTATATAAGGAACCAAATGAAAATGCCTTAGTTTTCTGAGACTACTTGGCATATCTGAAAAAACAAAAATTAATACATTTAAAACAATGGAGAAACTAAGGAACAATTATAGGTCCTAGTTCATTATTGTTTACTATAATTTGGTATTTCCAAGCTTTTATGTACATCCATTGCCTCAATTTTGCATTATTTAAAATTAATAACAATTTGGATTAAAAAAAACACCTTTGAGTTTTCAGATACTTCAGTTTCTTTTAAAATCAAGTTTAGAAGAGAGTTCTTCACAGGTGCATTTTAAAGTTATAAGCACTAATATTACTAAAAATAATTTTCAATTCAAAAACAGTATAGGAAAATTATATTCAACTCATTCTACTGTCTTTTCTATTCCTATCCCGCCTCCCTTCCCTTCATTCCCCTTTGTCTAATCCAATCAACTTCTATACTATGCTCATATGAACATGACCAGTATAACTCTACATCATGTTCAACCACAAGAATGGGATCAAAATTGTAATGGGTTGTACCCATTACATTTCCCATGTATGTATAATATGTTAAAATACACGCTGCTGTCATGTATATCTAAACTAAAACAAAATTTAAAAAGTATATAATTAATAAAATATTGAAAAATATCCTGAGACAGAGACTAAAGGGGCTTACGATATCAAAAAGGGCATTTTTGTGTGTGTATCACTAAGATTTCAACCCTAATTGTCAACATACACTTGTCATTCTATGTAAGATGATTTTACAGAATAAATTCAGTAATGACAAATACATGCACAGACACTTCTGTACTTACCAATCCTGCTGCATACATGGGCACTATAACAGGCTGCTTCTTATTGCCCGTGAAGAGCTATAAACATGTGTTAGAGATAAAGAACATATTTAGTCTCCAAAATATGCTTACAATGCTTTATTATATACATTGTGAATGGATGAATTAATTGTTAAATTGCCCATATGGAGTTTTTTTTTTTTTTTCCCAATTCTCCTAGTTCCAATTCTTTCTTTTTATAGTTAAGGGAAAACACTAAAAATGACTTTTTAAAAAAAATGGGAAATATTGCTTGGAGAAACATTTAGGTAGATTGAGGTTTAAAAGTTGGCATACTTAAAACAAACATTTACTTTTCTGAGGAATAGGCTTGTTACGGTTTAACAGAAGTATAAAATTTATAAAGCATTTGAAAGAATTTTTCAAAGTACTATCAAACTCACAATGTTTCGTGTGTCTATTCCTAAGGAGCACAAAAGCTTCTTGTTGCTATGGGAGCCGCCCCACTGATATCTCAAGCCATGTGCATCATGGATATCCTGTAGTTCGGTCCACACATCTAGCAGTTCTCTGCAAAGACCATAATAAAGCCACCAACAACAGGTTTCATTATGAATGAAACAGTTTTCATTATGAACGTCACTTTTAATATGACCATGACATGTTACACATTCCAATTATCTTATGTCTAACATCGGTGTACAATGGTTATGTGAATAAAATCAAGAGCCATACTTATTAGAAAAGTATCTAATTCATATGAAACAATATGCCAGTAATGAGTAGAAATGTAGCCTTTTATTATAAAAGAAAATTAAAGGAAATCACTTAGCATTTCACTACCTTAATATAGCTATTTAATATTTGTGTTTTCTCCTTGAATCTTGATCTACAGAGTTGCAATTATAGCATATCTATACTTTTGTATTTTTTACATTTTAAACATTTCCTTGTTTACAAATGTAAAATAGTTCCTCCTTAACTGTGGTTTCACATTGAGGTTTCAGCTACCCATGGTCAACCACGGTCTGAAATTATTAAAGGGGAAATTCTAGAAATAAAGAATTCATAAATTTTAAATTAGGTGCTGTTCTGAGCATTTATGTTACTTCATTTCATCATATAGTTACTGTTTCATCTCACATCATTACAGAAGGTGAATTCAATACAATATTTTGATAAATAAATATGCATAGATTTTATTATAATACTCTGTTATAGTTGTTCTATTTTATTATTATTTTAAGTCTCTTTTTATACCTAACTTATAAATAAAGCTTTATAAAAGATATGAATATATAGGGAAAAATGTAGTACTATTTGAGGTTTCAGGCATCCATGGAGTTTTGGAACATATCCCCTGTGGTAAGGATGGACTTTCCCAATGGTTGTGTAATATTCTATTAGGTTGCTGCACCATCATTTATTCAGCTACAACCCTACAGTTCTTAAGTTTTTTTGGTGGTTATGGGGATTGAATCCAGGGGCACTCTATACTCCAGCCCTTTCATTTATTTTTACTTTGAGACAGGGTCTTGCTAAGTTGCCAAGGCTGTCCTACTTGCAATCCTCCTGCCTCAGCCTCCTGAGTTACTGTAATCAAAGTGTGTACCACCATGCCAGGCTCATGTTCTTACTGTTCAGCTCTTAGTAAGGTCAGGACTCTCTCCCTGTATCTTATGGTGTATGTGTTATTGTAAGTTGTACTATTTCCTTAGAATGAATCACTTGGAGAGAAAAGACTGAATCCAAGAATATGAATTATCTGTATAAATAGCACATTAAAAATATATACAACTAAATATTTTAAAAACAGCTCAATATAAATCTTTTTCCCCCTTCTTTTTTCAGAAATTATCCCAAAACAAAAAACCAAGCAGCAAAACACAATCTCAATCTTCAACAAAATTGAGGGATACCTAAATTCTATATTATAGATACTAAGGTCACAGAGGGATGAAGAAGCAATAACTGACTTAGCCAAGTAAAAAGAGTGACCTGCAGGAAGGGAGGATACTTAAAGAGGCAGAGAATGATAAAATGCAAAAGTATAGCCCAGAAATAAAGATAACTTTAAAATTAAAATGAGAAAAATCAATCTAGACCCTTTAAGATCCAATAATTAACAGGAATTCCCAAGAGAGAAAACAGGTAATGGAAGGAAGGCAATTGTTGAGGTAATAATATAAAAGAAATGCTCAATACTCAATAACAGAAGCCTTTAGATTGAATGATCCTACCTCATGAATGAAAACCAATTCTTATCAAGACACTTTGTTGTGAAATTTCAGAAGGTCAGCAGCAAAGAGAAGATTTTAAACTATAAATTCAATGTGAAAGTAGAATAAAATAAAATTTTGTCTCCCATGTATTTTTTTCCCCTCAGGAGGTTATTAGAAAATGTGCTCCACCAAAATGGGATATGAGCAAAAGAAGTCTCAAGAGAACACATGAGTAAGAGACCTAGACAGAAATCATTTTAGATATGAGGAAGATAACAGGGAGGAGGAAGAGCTCTTTGTGCTTCAGGGGAAAAAAAAAAAAGAAAGGAAGGACAACCTGATAGGTTTGCTTACAATTAAAATTATACTAATAGGCTGCTGGAGGGTAGGGAAAGACTCAGTAAATGAGAAAGACAGGCAATTACAGCTAGAATATTCCTTATGAGAAATGGCTGGGACCATAAATGTTTCAGATTTTATAGATTTGCCTAGACTGTATCAATTTTTTTGTGTACCCCTAATCTGAAATGCTCCAAAATTGGAAACTTTTTCCTTTTTTTGAGATGGGAACACTATGTGTTGACCAGCTGGCCCTGAATATGTATAAATCCTATATTACAAATGCTGAGGGCTCAAGTGATCTTCCTGCTTTAGCTTCCTAAGTAGCAGGGACTAGCATGAGCCACTTTTGTGTCCAGACAGAATTTTAGAGTATTTCAGATTTTGGACTTTCAGATTAGGGATGCTCAAAGTCCAAGAGAAAGTTGGATAAAGAAAACAGGGGCTTGGCAGTGAACAAAATTTACTTGATCATCATAATAATTATAATATTGAAAATACCAAATTAGAAAAATAACCAAGAACATAAGTATATCAGGAAGATGACGGCAGAATAGCAGAGATAAGATCTAAAGGCTTATTTATTGTACTAGGAAATCAAAATATAATACATGCCATTGACTGATTAAAGTACTGACTTAGAAACATCAAAAGAAATAGTTCAAAATAGAGAAGCCAGGCTCAGTGGCACACACCTGTAACCCCAGTGGTTGGGGGGCTGAGGCAGGAGGGACATAAGTTTAAGGTAAGTCCTAGCAACTTAGCAAGATCCTAAGCAACTTAGGTTCTATCTTGAAATAAAAAATAAAAAGGGCTGAGGATGTGGCTCAGTGGTTAAGCGCCCCTGGATTCAATCCCTGGTACCAAAACGAAAAGAAAAAAGCAGGGAATTTTTTCATTATGTCTTTTTTAGAGCTGGGCCACGGTTTGCTAGGGATTGAACCCAGGGCCTCACATATGCTAGGCAAGTATTCTACTGCTGAGTTACATCCCTAGCCCTTCACTGTCAGTCTTTTAGCAGAACACGACTAAATTTCAACACAGTAACCTTTTAGATACTTAATGATATCAGAAAACTTTATATAAATTAGAATCCACAAAACCACATGGTATCTAAAAACTGTCTGCTACTTACCCGCTTTCAGCTAAGGCCTCTCTTGTTTTTATTGGTAAGGTACTTGTTTCCAGCAAGTGCTTCAGGGAAGTAACTTCCTCTTCAGCATCAGGGACAAATATGGAAGGAAAACATGCTTCGAAAATTCGTTCCAGGCGGTTTAGTAAAGCTGTCTGTATCAAAATACCCCCAAAAGTTTATTTACACTTCTCCAATTGTAATGTCTTAGTACTATCATTAAAACACACACGCACACACCTTGTCCCTTACTGTAAATGAGTGAGAGAAATCCACCACTCAGGTACAAAAAACACTAAGTGGAAAGCACATAATTACTCATAGAACAATCATTCTAAAGGATTACCTGAAGTAATCATGATGATGATACAGTAGGTGACAAATGTAGCTACACACCAAACACCATATAACTGGATTCTTTACATTTGTTATATTATTTAATTCATTACAAGAGTCTATATAAAGAAGGTATTATTACTCTACTATTCAATGAAAAGTAATATCAAAGTTTGAATAATGTACCCAAAGCCAAACCAAAAAAAAAAAAAAAAAACAAAGAAAACCCAGATAGCACTGATATTCTTTCCACCACTACTAATGTACTCTAGACTTAGGGACAATGAGATTGTTTGCTTGTGAAAGTATTATGCTATTATAGCTGATCAGGACCTTTTTTTTTAGACATAAACACTTGAACTATAAAATCCTTTTTGAAATATTTCTGCTGTTAATAAGTACAAACCAAAGTAGAAAACAAAGTCTCAATTTTAAATGATTAGAAATTTAAAAACAGTTTATCATTTTGATGACCTGCACTATCTTCTAGAAATTCTATTTCTCTACTCCTTTGTTGCATGTGTATGTACATTTTAAAACTATCTTGCAAGTAAAGCTTGGCTATTCCATATTTTCACCTAAAACAGAAAAAGTTCTTTGAAGTATTCTTATTAGTTCAGACTTATTGGATTTACATAAACTTTTTTTTGGGGGGGAGGAGTGGGGGAGAACACCAGGTTTATTGCACATGTGTAACCTATATAAACGTTTTTTTCCTATTTTCATAACTGTACCACAGATATAAGCAAGATATTTTCAAACTCAGCCCAATTCACTATTTAAACATCAAAGAGGAATACAAAATGTTAATGAATTAAAACCTGCTGGAAGATTAAATGTACTATTGAGTTGATGCCAAATATATATTTTTAAAAAATGCCACATCATGATAGTTCCCCCTGCCAAATCATTAAAAAAATAATAATAATATTTGATTTTTGTCGTCTAGTATAGTCAGAAGCCTGAAAAAATTTCATAAACACATTTTCTAAACCCAAGTTTCTCTTTTGGAAGCTGAACCAGAACAAAAAAAATTAACACTGAATAATTAGTCTCAAGGCACTCTCCTGCTAACTCTACAAAAGTTACTCTGACACCTTCATTATATTCATTGTGTGATGGGAAAAGGTTCTCACTCTCAATTATGAACCCTAAAGTAAAGGGTAGACTCAAGATCCCAAGGCTTGTGAAACTTGAGTGCGTCAAGGGGACCTAGCACTTACTTGCTTCAACAGAGGGAATGGATAGACATTACTTTTAAAGGGATCAGATAACTTCTTAATTGGAAACCTGATAAGCACTGGCTCCTCCTGGACATAAAAGGTAAATAAAAAACTAACATATGGCCAAATTTTATTTCTCTGTAAATTAAATCTTTCTTGTATCTTCTCTGTTATCTTTTTAAAGGGCAGAGTAGGAAGCTTACCACCTGGAGAAAGAAATGACCCTAAAACATACTAAATCAGCTGGGCGTTATTAAATATAAAGCGTAACTATGAAGAAATTCTCAAATGAGTGGAAAGTACTTGAGGAAAAGAAACACATTAGTCACCTTAATTTACTTCTTCTACAACCTTTTCCCACAAAAGATATAAATTACATGAACATTTTTAAAGACCGTTTCATATATCTTTAGGGTTAGATCTAAAATTTGACTGCTTCAGATCTTTTGTTGAATGAGATAGAGTCAGAGCTGGCAATCTTTTCAATATAAAGTCAAAGAATAAACATTTTGGGTTTTGCAGTCCATTCATAAACAAATGTGGGTATGTTCCAGTGAAACTTTATTTGCAAAAACAGGCAGGACAGATTTGTCCCCTGGCCATACTTTGCCAACCCCTGAAGTAAAGCAATAAGTAAATATCAAATAACCAGAATCCACTAACAGCATCACCAAGAAAGCAGTTAACAGAATTAACAAAGGTTTTGATAAATTTAAATTTGTTCTGGCATTTTTACTTTAAAAAGTGTATCAACTTCCAACTCTCCATGAGACCAATTTGATGGTAAGGGCACCCTGTAAAAACAATTTTTTACTACTATCTTGTTCATGGCAACAAATGATGCCAAATTTAATTTATTACTAGTTAATTCCAGTAAGTAAATGCATGATATAATTACAACACTTTGATAGAAGGCTACAGATCTAGGGGCTTATGATTCACTTATAACCTGGAGATATCTAGGTCTACCAGTGTAGTTGAGGTGGCAACTTTGATCATTTCTACTCCCCTTATACAGATGATACTTTAATGGCAGCCTACTCAGGAATAAAACAGAGTTAAAACTAGGCTCAAGGTGCTGGAATGTAGCTCTGTGGTACAGCGTTTGCCTAGTATGTGTGATAACCCGGAGTTCAGTCCTCAACACACACACATACACAGAAAACCAACCAACCAAACACACACTAGACTCAAAGCTCACTAAGAAAGTTTCTCTAATGAAACTCAGTCAATTAATTTCTACCATATTAGGATATAATAAAAAATTAAATCCAAATACTTTGTTTCCTTCCCAAGATCTTCCTGTTGAGTGTATATAGATGGCGGAGAAAACACCTAGTTTTCAAGTATCTGTTCTTCAAAGAGCCTCTTATTTAAAGAGAATCTGTAACTGCTTCTCTTGCAGATTTTAAACTTTGGATATTGGTGATTGGCATTTGTGAGTTAAGTCTCAATTATATTATGAAACACAAAGTGTACAAAGCATACAGTAGATGCATTTAAGAGTAATTTGCTTCCCCCAAAGCACAATAAATTTAAAAGTTCAAAAATATAATGGAACATAGTCCCAATAACTTGGTAAGTAGAACAGGTTACAAGAATACAACACATATGATACTCAGAAAAAGAGAAACTAATCTACCATAAAAAACAGAGTCGTTTGTGTCTTTCAAGACAGATTTTCCAAGAAACTGTAAACAGACACTAATTAAGAAAATAAAAAACAAACAAAAAATTGTTAGTTTGAGCAAAATATTGAGTATCTCTTACCAAACTAGTCAATAAAGTAAAATATTATACTTGGATTTGTTCTAACATTTATGAATAAAAAGGAATTTTGTTTATATTATTTCTGTTTCTCTACACAGAAGTTTACTCCTGGTTTTGATTCAATGATAGCATTTTTTTTGGTGGTGGTGCTGGGGGTGAAACTCAGGACCTTGCGCATGTGAGGCAAGCACTCTACCAACTGAACTATAGTTATAACTCAGCCCTCACTTTTTTTTAAGTTTGTAGCTGAATTACTCAGAAAAAGGTTACATTGAATAGTGTCATTTATTAATATATTCCAGTATATAAAGAATGTATTAGATGTAAAATTCCAAAAAATTATATCTTCTTATTTAGAATTAGTGATCAAGTCTGCTAGCTGATCTCTGCTTTTCTTATGCAGATAAGGCAGCAAATATAAAGCAAACAAAATCAGTATAACCCATTTCAGGAAAGTGAGAAACTAAATTCAACAAAAGATCGAAAGATGTTCTTTGAACATACTCAAACTGTAAAAGCCTTATTTGGTGCACTATAGTTTTGGTTTAATGTTTACATAGTACTTCCCATGAGCCAGGCATTATTCTAAATTCCTTAAAAATACCAGCTCATTGAAGTTTCATAAGAACCATACGAGGAAAGTAACAATATTATTTCCATTTTTTGGATGAGAAAAACGGAGCAGGGAGAAGTTAAATTAACTTGCTCTGGTCACGTGCATATTAAATGCGGAAGTTGAATCCTAAATCAGGAAGCATAGTCTCGGAGTAGGTGCTCTTGAACCACTATAATATGTTGTTATCAAAGCAGTTCTGTTTAATTTCTGAAAATTACAGGAGTGTTGAGGGAATGAACTATGTCTTATTCTTGAGTTTCTAGTATTGAGGTTTCTGCCTACTATTAATATAGGAATCCTAACTAAATCAAAGTGCTTTGGGGGTGGGGGAAGCACTTTTGTTTAGGATTTTTAAGGGCATCATAGTTCTATTTATGAAAGTATATCTTACCATAAGCCATCTAAATCATCATTTTATTTTATTGAGTACCGGGGATTGAACTCAGGGGCACTCCACCACTGAGCCACATCCCCAGCCCTATTTTGTATTTTATTTAGAAACAAAGGTCTCAGTGAACTCGCCATCTTCCTGCCTCAGCCTCCTGAGCTGCTGGGATTACAGGCATGCACCACTGTCCCCAGCTCTAAATCATTCTTGTATGTAGGTAGAACATATTTATATAATTATAATGTATTGATAACAATAGTCTAATGCTTTCTATGTGATTTACTATGCTTAACGCTGTACATATAACACTTGAGGAATCTTCTAAAAGAAACACCTCAGATAAGTATTACTGTCTCTACGTTACAGATAAACAAACTGAAACTCAGGGAACTTTAATTAATCAGAGTTTTAGTACTGGTATTGTGCATAGCAAGAATTTGACCCAAAGTCTGACTCCAAGGCCTACATTCCTTTCACCAAATCATGCTTTTACTTAAATTTTGTGATCTTTCAAACATTTCCAGCCATTAGACAATGGATCCCTTGTTAAGTACTGTGATGATGATCGTATTTTAAAAAGCAAACCATTTCATCTAACAGTTGTAAACATTAATAAAGAGTCAGTGTTGCATTCTAAATGAATATGAAGGTAATAAATGCATACACACTTAGCAGTCTAAATATTTAGCTGAGGCCACAGTATTAACTAAATGGCACACTAAGTACAAAAACATTCACACAAATTACCTGCATTTTAAATACCTTTAACTCCAAAGTATAAAAAAGAGAAAACGTCATTGATTCTCCCTTAACTCCATGGAA